TAGGAAGAAGAGCATAGGAACAAGCACTCGTCCCACAAAGGGTGCAAGACAGACACTTCTGACGAAAATGAAATCGATCTGCTTGAATATTCGCCTTTTACCGGCACTCACGTCGAGAACCAAACCAAAAATAAGTCTGTAAAGAGATGTTCGACTGCATCACATCCCTACAGGCTGTCTGGTGAGCGCTCCTCGAAACAGTATGTGATCTTTACGACATTTTCACTAGCTCATTCGTAATAAGAAGGGCATAGGAGCAACTTATTGGTCCCCAAAGAGTGCAAGAAAGACACTTCTGACGAAAACGAAATCGATGTGTTTGAATATTCGCTCTTTTCCGGCACACACTTCAAGTTCCAAACCTCCTTGACCACTGTGTAACGCGGTATCATTGTCCTAAAAATGTTACTTTGAAGCCTCTGCTCATGATCCCATTTGAAGAGGAAGCAGTAGGCACATCACGTTTGCTATGCACGTAGAAATGTAAGCACGTAGAAATGTACGCATTGTTCCGAGCGAAGGCGTTGAAGCAAAAGCTACCGGATACGAACCGAGAAAGAGCGAGGTTCTTCCGAAAGACGAAGAATGTTCGTGAAGAAAAGGAGGGAAAACGCACACTTGATGAATTTCATCAAAGAATACTCAAGAATATAATTATTAATAATTGGCTGCGTACTTATCTGGGCATTTTTGGGGGGCTGGTTGATAATCGACGTTTTGTTGGATCCTAGTCTTCTTCATATTCCTGTACTCAAAGCATACCAAGCAGCCACGGATTTCATGGCGGTAGGAAACTGGTGGGAGATGAATTAGATGGCGGTAGAAAAGTTGTAGGAGATATATACCATAAGCATTCTTCGTCCTTCATGATTGTATTGTTCTCCAAGTCTCTACGTGCAGGTTTGTAGGATCCGCCAATTCGTCACTCGGAGTATTCTTCGCAATCGAATTATTACGGTCCCATGGTGGTGGGGGGAGGGCGGGCGGGGAAGAAAAAGACCTCTTCTAAGGCGCCAATCGAAGAGCCAAAAGAAAGAGAGACGAACAGAAGAAAAGGAGAAGGAAATGCCAGGAGGGAAGGAGGAAAGAATCGAGGGGAAATACGCAACCTTGAAACAGATCACAAGGCAGAGAGCTCATGCCGCTCATGATAGATATTCTTGCCTCTCATTTATGCTGGAGTTACCTCACAGCATTAAAAGAAGAAATAGGCCAGACTTTCCATTCTTGCATCGGTCCGCTACAAGTCTTTGATTGCTCTATCAAACAGCTACAGCCAAAGTCTTGCATCGGTCCGCTACAAGTCTTCGATTGCTCTATCAAACAGCTACAGCCAAAGTCTTGCATCGGTCCGCTACAAGTCTTCGATTGCTCTATCAAACAGCTACATCCAAAGGCTTGCATCGGTCCGCTACAAGTCTTCGATTGCTCTATCAAACAGCTACATCCAAAGGCTTGATCAACCAGCCCTTCCTTCTGCACTGCTTTCTGATTGAAAACCATAAACCAAGCGTACAAAGCACTATTTCTGCAAAATAATCACCAATGCAACCTTGTCTATGCGACGAATGGTTCATGGAATATGCTCATCACTTCTTCCCATTTGCATCTGCATAACTAAGTTTTCTCCCATCGACAGGCTATAAGTGCGAAGCAGTGGTGCAGATATTTTCAACTGATTGAATTTACGGTTCCCCAATGCTTGCCTTTGTATTCGTGCGATGTGTTGCTAAACACGACCGTCAAACACCTTGCACGCTTTCGCCATCATGTCCGGCCCAACCAACGCTCACAACATGCTTATTATTTCACTATGATCTCTCGGGAATACTCATGGTCGGGGCACGGCAAGGAAAGACCTAGAGCAATTGCATAGAAGAGAAAGGTCAAAGTTCTGCTCGTCAACCACTTACGGTTCTTATTTGGTTGAGCGTACGTCGTCTAGTAACGTACCAGCGGTCGACACGAGGCCTTTTCCTTTGCCGGTGTAAGCCGTAGTCAGGACTTCATCGGGGAAGCTGTTACCGCTTCCTTGCAGCTTTTTGATCACAGTTCCCTTGTAGATGATAGCTGAGTCCGGCTTCATCCCACTGCATGCGTGTGATGCGGAAAGTAAGAGGTACCGAACGTCAAGTAAATGCCATGCCACAATGCCCGTTTTGCCACTAGAAATCGCGCGTACCCTTCAAAGTCAGAAACGCTGGCAATGGTAGAGGATGCAATAGCTGAGAGAGCCTCTTGTGTGTAGAAGCCTTTGTGCGGAGTAATTAGTACATTCGAAAGAGTCCTGTGCATTGAAAAAGGAGAGGTGTTGGCATGTGACAATCACTACGCCCTACAATATTTTCTACAGCAATAACAGGCTTTACTCTTACATGAGACGAGAGAGCTGGTCGTCCTTTACTATCTCCTCCGACAGATTTCGATAGAAAAAAGCCTCTTCGTCTTCGTACGTGTCGAGCCCTGAAAGGGATGCAAGAGGAATCATCACGGATGCTGCGTAACTCTTTCATCCTTCTGAGACTTGCCCTTGCCCTCAAATGACGTGCGAAATACCATAGAGGACACGTACCAACAGCGCGAATATGTTTTGTCTTGAGGGCTTCAATGACGGCTTTAGTGTCCACCAACCCACCGCGAGAAGTGTTGATGAGGATTACGCCCTGCACATCGTGAGCACGCGGGTGATCAATTGTGTCGAGACATGTCCACATTTTACATCGAATCCAACGCGTATGAAAGGTGCACGCATACATGTCTACCATTCCCAGTTATTCAGGACGCAATACAGCGGTCAGTGTACGTCCCTACCTTTTTCATCTTTTTGAGGTTGTTCCCCCCGATTATGCCCTGCGTGTCCGGAGTAAGGGGCATGTGGAGAGAAAGAACATCCGAGGCCTAGATTATATAAGATGCAGAGGGCCGTGATGGCCGTCATGAGAGGTGAAGCGGTTCAATGATGGACGAGACACAAAGACGCTCGTGCGCTCCTCACCCGAAGCACTTCATCCATGGACGTGTATTTAAAGCTGCCCCAGCCTGCGATGTTGTTGCCTTTCTTTTGCAAAGCGAGAAGTGCAGGGTTCTCCATCACGTCGTATCCCAGCACGTGACAACCAAGGCCAACCATGATGCGGGCAAAACTGTCGCCTATCCTTCCCGTACCAAGGATGCCAACTGTTTTCCCGGCAAGCGAGAAGCCGGGCGACATCCCCTCCAAGCAAAAATTTCCGTCCCGCACGCGGTTGTACACCTTCACGTGCATTGAAACGAACGTTAGTATCTCGATAAATGCGTAATTTGAAACGATGATTGAGATATGTGCCTTCACCGACCTTGTGTGTCTTGCGATTCAGGGTCAGCAATAGAGCCAAGGCATGTTCAGCTACAGATTGAGGTGAGTACGCCGGTACATGGAAAACGGACAGCCCACATTTGGCGACGTACTCGAGGTCTACATTGTTACAGCCTGCACTTCGCAACGCAATAAGGTCAACGCCTAGTTCTAAGAATTGGTCGACTACGGCAGAGTTCACCTCATCATTGACAAAGCAACATACTACTTGATGACCCGCTGCCAAGGAGGCAGTTTTCTCTTCTAAATGAGCGTCGAAATAAGTAAGGGTGTGCCTGACGCGGACAAGAATCATATAAAGATATTGGTAAGCGGGAAAGGCATAAAGTCGTGGGAAAGTAGCAGCACTACCATGCTCTTTACATACCGGTGTGCGGGAGCAAGAGCATTGTTTGCAGCTGTCATGAATTTCTTGTCGTAGTCTTTACTGGAAAAGAATGCCACTTTCATATTTGGCGCTGTATTTATCGTTGGGAGGACAGTGAGTGAGATGTGCGTGATAGTATTATCGGAAGGATTCGAGGGGGAACGATGTGAGGTTCTTTCTCACTTACGTGGAGAGCGCGGTAAGTCTCGTAGATAACCGGACGAGTATGAGTTTTCACACCTGTTGGTAGGATGTACATCACGCAAATTTATTGGCTTGGCGCCGAGTGTGAATGGGGACCATGCAGCGTCAAGCCTTGACGGCTGCCAAGAGATGGTTTTTACAGGCTCGCACATGCAAGAATCAAGAGCCAAGGGGTCGGAAATCTTGACAAGGACACAGTGAATCAGGAAAGCACTTGTTACACAATGATGACCGAATTATTACACCGGGTGTCGTGCCATGGAAAGTCTCTGTTGCAGGCGACGCATGCTAGGACTTTGTGAGCCGACTGTACTGTGATTGGCTATTTGGCAAAGAGTAGAAGTGTGCAGGAAGGAATCGAATCTACCCATCAACAACACAGCACGTCAGTGGGCCATAAAAGCTTGACTTTCCAGCACGTTCGTATACTTGATCACTCTACTCTCTGGGTCACATTGTTTAAACTTATGTTGGACGAGGAGGAAGACGACCCCATCCGCCACATCGCACACATGCCCCGGATAGGGGAGCTTACATGATCTTTAAAGGACAACTTCCGTGGGGATTTGAACCTTCAACAATCTCACCATCGTCAAACGGTACATGTCAGTCTGTAAAGAGAAGTCTGACTGCATTACATGCCTACAGGCTGACTGATGAGCGCTACTCAAAACAAGATCAGATGTCTACGACATTCTCACAAGGGTGAAGCATAGGAAGAAGAGCATAGGAACAAGCACTCGTCCCACAAAGGGTGCAAGACAGACACTTCTGACGAAAATGAAATCGATCTGCTTGAATATTCGCCTTTCACCGGCACTTACGTCGAGTACCAAACCACAAATAAGTCTGTAAAGAGATGTTCGACTGCATCACATCCCTACAGGCTGTCTGGTGAGCGCTCCTGGAAACAGTATGTGATGTTTACGACATTCTCATTGGGTTAATCATGGGAAGAAGAGAATAGGAACAACTTATTGGTCCCCAAAGAGGGCAAGAAAGACACTTCTGACGAAAACGAAATCGATGTGTTTGAATATTCGCTCTTTTCCGGCCTTCACTTCAAGTTCCAAACCTCCTTGACCACTGTGTAACGCGTTATCATTGTCCTAAAAATGTTACTTTGAAGCCTCTGCTCATGATCCCATTTGAAGAGGAAGGCATGTCACGTTTCATATGCACGAAGAGATGCACGCATTGGTCCGTGCGAAGGCGTTGACGCAAATGCTACTGGATCCGAACCGAGAAAGAGCGAAGTTCTTCTCTAAGATGCTGGGGTGCTTGCTTTCCTTTCTTGATCAGGCTCGGCGTCTTGTGTAATTTGACATGCCACGGGTACTTTATGAAAAATGCTATTACCTGTATA